GGATTTAGGATATAAGAATTGAAAAGGTTAAATACACTTGTATATCCAAAACTTTCACGGTTGTGCCAATAATATCCAAATTTCCCAAAATACCACTTATATCCAATTCCTTCACATTCTTTAACGGTGGTTTTGGATATACAAGTGTATTTAACCAAAAATATATTGGGAAATGGATAGATTTGGCAAAGAACAACTTTAAAACATGGATATAAGTGGTATTTCGGGAAATTTGGATATTATTGGCATAACCGTGAAAGTTTTGGATATACAAGTGTATAAACCAATTGAAAATTAGGGATTGAAGAACAAGATTGAGAAAGGTTTGGGAAGGATGGCCCGCGGCCTTTAGGGAAGAAGAGGGACGAGAGAGAGATTAGAGACTAGGGTTTAAGAGATATTTTCTGCAATATTATTCTTGACTGATTATGACGTAAATCGAAATTACATATTGATGACTCGGTATTTGCACATGTTTTCCCCTTTGTTTCTTGATTGTTTGAGCTTGAATTATCGTGTCTTTGGCCTATTTTATGCTAGGTTGTGTTCCTTTCTCACATTTCAGGTCCTAGCACATAAAGTGAAGTATAGGCGCAAGTTTCAAGTCAATCAGAGATCAATTGACGATTCGGGAGAAGAAACTCGGCCATGACTTGAAGAAGAATGGATTTCTACCTCACTTTATGGACAAAGAATCATGCAAGCTTGTTATGAAAAGAAAGAGGACGAGACTACGAGCGTCTGGGATCAAACGGCGACTGAATCGGAGGTCAAACGAGCTCAAACGAGATCAACGGAGCTTAGGAGTGCATGCTGGAAATTGTGCACGGCCAAAACCTCAATTTGCACGGCCGTGCAAGTAGGGGGTGCGAGTTTCAGCGGGTATAAAAGCTGTTTTGCGATTTTTGGAGAGGGAGAGCTGGGTTTTGGATCCCAAACACCCAAGGGACGAACCCTAGAGAGAGAGAGAGCGACTTGGGAACATTCTTGGAGCTATTTTGGAGGATTTCTTCGCCATTGGAGCTCGGGAATCAAGCTTGGAGATGGAGATTGAAGATCTAGATCAGATTTCTGCAGTCTCTCTCTTCTCTATGGAGTAACTTCCCTTCACTTAGGTTTTGAGGAACCCTAGCTATGTTTGTTTGATTGGATGATTGTATGAGTACTCTGACTTGATAATCTTGAGTTCATATTCAATCTATGCATGTTTTCACGATTCAATTCTGCTTTAGTCGATATTATTGATTCTGCTTTGATCCTATGAGAGCGAATACCTGATTAGGTCAATAGAGCACCATAGATTGATAGTAGTGGATCGATTGCTTTAGTCAAGGGTTGATTCACTGCTTTGTATCGATTGAGAACCTCATTCGATAGAGGGAGTCTAGTTCAGAACGCCTTGATCGATTGTTCTAGAGAAGGATACGTCCCTATAGGCAATTGACTCAAGAGGGCCTTGTTCCTTTAGTCGAGACTCAAGGTCTAGTCAAGGATTCTCCGCATTGTGAATGAAAGTGAAACAAGTTAGAGATCATCAATCGTTAATCTGGCTAGTGGCTAGGGGGAATCATACCTAAGTGAGTTCCCAACCTGTAATTAGATTAACTTTAACTGTAGTTTGCTAGAGTAGTTTTAGTTCTTTCATCTTAATCTGTTTTGCTAGATAATGAACCGAAGCTGAGTAATAGTAACTCTAGAGACCCGTGGATTCGATATTTATTACTTGAGCCACTATACTGCAGTCCCTTTCATTGGTTACACTTGGCCATTGTTAGGAGTTGTGTTTTAGCGAGTCAAGTTTTTGGCGCCGTTGCCGGGGACTTTCTAGAGTATTAGGAAAGACAGAAGTTTGTTACTTTAGCGTTTTTCTTTTCTTTTCCACCCTTGCTTTTCACTTGGGTGTTTTGTTTTTGTTGGTGCAGATCTGAATCATGGATCCTCATGGCTTCTCCAATCATTGGGGGTATCCACCACCGTCCGAGTGGTATTACCCCGAGACCCCCTGGAGCAATCAAGGAGGAGAAGACTATGGATCCGGGTTCCAGTACCAACCCCCTTTCTATGGAGAACAATCTGACCCCTGGGCATATCAAGAACAATCTCATTACCAAGAAGACTTTCTCCCACAACCAGAAGGGCCATCGGCGCTGGAGTTACCCATGGCGGCCTTCACGGGCCATTCTGCAGAGCCATGGTACACTCCACAGCCAGATCCAAACTATGAACTGAGGCTTCTCCTGGAGCAGTTTGTTCGGGACTCCGAGAGACGCAATCGCAAGATGGACCTCCTTTTCTCATCCTTTGCTCCTCCTAACTCTTCATCCCTCCGTGAATCGGAGGAGAATGTTTCGCACTCATCAAAGCAACCAGAGTGGGTTGAGCAGGTTTGTGCACAACTTGCTCAAGATCACCCGTCTGCTACCATACTAGAAGAGGACGAGGAAGAAGAAGGCTACAAGGACATTGTGGAGCAAACAGAAGTTATCACGGAGAGCTCCCGTGAAGATCATGATCAAGAATGTCCTGTCGTAGCCGACCACCCCTTCCCACACCCCACACTGAGCTTTGAAGAGGTGGGCATGAGTGAGGAGATGCAAGAAGATCTCATGAGAGAAATTGCTTGGCAACTTGCTCTCCAATTCGTGCTAGAAGAAGAAGAGCAAGAAAGGGTGCAGAAAGAAGTTGTGGAGGATGACGAAAGTGAAGCAGGAGGAGTTCTTGATCATTTCCCAGGGGTGATACCACATGAAGAAGAAAGGGAGGTTGAAGAAGCAATTGGCGTCCAGGCTGAGGACGGAGTTGAGGTGGAAGAGGCTTGCACCGGCCATGAGTTGCATGTGATATCTCCAGCATACTTTGAGGAACTACTTAGCAAGGACCCATTTGCAGTGTCTCTTTGCCAGACCAAGGCCACTTCGACATCGGTCCCTCTTGGTGGACGCGGTGGTGGCCAATCGATGCTGTCTTATCTGGTTTGGGGCAATGAGACGAGAGAAGAGAAGAAGAGGTCTCGAGGGTGGAGACTTCATCTGCATCAAGTGCACGAGCCTTCATCACCTGCCACACCACCTGCTTGTGACTTGAGACTCCACCTCATCGACGAGAACCTCAACTTCAAGGAGGTTCTAGCATGGACCGAAACTTAGGAGCCATCGTCCGGCTCACGACGTGAAAGAAGCGCTTGTTGGGAGGCAACCCAACCAGTCGGTTTGCATTTCTTTCTCTATTTCTCCTCGGTTGAGTCAGTTTTGTTATTTGATTTTAGAGTCAATAACTCAACCTTTGTGAGATTTTGTGTGGTGTTTGTGTTCTGATTACTCTCTCTTCCTGGAATGCACCGCCTGCCCCGTCCATCATCATTCACCCTTGATCTGGTAACTTCGTTCTACCCTCCTTATCTTTCCTCCATTGAGGACAATGTCGTGCTTAAGTGTGGGGGGGTGTTCGATTATGTATGCGGGTGAATGTTTGGCTGTTTGTACCAAGCCAATTTTTGAATACTTGATACCAAGCCAATTTTTGAATAGAAATTTTAGAATCAATTATCATTATAATTATTTTCAATTATCATTATGTGTTCTAATAATTGAATTATTTCATGAATGTTGTAGCTTTTATAGTCATTTTCTTTTCTACATTTTTTACAGAATGTTGTAGCTTTTATATTTTGTTTATTACTTGGTTACTTTTTTTTTTATCTCTTTTTGTTCTAAAATTTTCCAATTAGTGAAATATGTTGAATTCTTTATGATTATGTCCCTTTTATCCTTTTTTGATTTGGATGTATTGATGATCGATTAGGTTCTTTTTTAACTATTTTATTTTGGTGAAACTATTTTAACTATTTCTAATGGTGCTTCTAATTGAATTAGTGGGTTTAAATAGATATTATAATATTTATTATTATATGCTAGCATATTTATTATTCATCTTAATATTTACTATATTTACTAATTTATCTATTTTATTAAAAAAATTTGATTAATCATTCTAGTAATAATATGTTTAGAAGGTTTTTTATTATTATATTAGACAAAACTTATTGAAATATAGTTTGGAATGTTTTTAAAAGTTTTGGGTATCAAAAAGTAATTAAAAATTTGAGTTGGATGAAAAAGTAGACGGATACACATTTTGACACTTTAATGGTATCCGACGCCCTATTCAAACTTAATTGATATGTCTACCCCAATTCTTAAAAGTGACACCCGAAATATTTTACCCGCTAAAAAGCGGCTAACCATAATTATAATTATCTCCCTAAAATTAATAAGAGAAACCCCTAATGAGCGGGTTTCTAACACAAGGGACATTTTGTACCTGTAACGATACTGGAAAAGAAACTTACGATGACAAGTAGTACACAATATGTGTCACTGCGTGTTTGGTTGGGGTAAGAAAGACCTGCCTCTGCCCTGCCTGCGTTTGTTGCGGGTTGTGTGGACAGTCAGAGAAACAAATGGATCATTTTAACATTACCGGAGATGGCCGCTGTCTGACACTAAACGCCAACCGTAGAAACGAAAAGCCATAAGAAAGAAGCAGACAGAAAGGGAATTCCGATCCCAACAAAATCCAAAAGGAGTACTACTGTCAGAATCAAGACAAGAACGAAGAAGCTAGCAAAAGGGTGAAGGCCTTTGGGCTTGGGCTTGGGCCGAGGTTCGAGCCGCCGCCGCCAGTTTTTTCAAAATGGCGCCAGACCAGTCAAAGCCACTACGTTTGACCCAGAATCATTTTTCCACGGTCAAACTTCCTGCCTTCGCCCTTTTTTAGTTTCTCAGAAGAAGCGTAGAGAGAGAGAGAGAGAGACTGCATTGCAAGGCAAATGAAAGAAATAGAACGGGGGACGACGGGACCCACCCAAAACCAAAGCCTTCCCTCCTCTCCCCTGGTAAAAACCCCATTATACCCCCTCCTCTCTCTCCTTCTTCATCCTTCCCCTTGTCTCACTGGGATTCTCCTATAAATAAACCACAAGGCCGCCTTACTCCTTTCCTCCTCAATTCCCATTTTCATGTCTTCTCCTCCTCCTCCTTCTTCATCCTCCTCTTTTACCAATCTCCTCCTCACCGGCAACAACAACAACAGCAGTAACAGCAGAGATATGGACACAATCGGCTGGGGACTCTACGGAACCGATCATCACCTCAACAACAACAGACCTGCAACTGGAGCTGGAGGGCTCGAAATCCCCAAATTCAAGTCCTTCCCGCCTCCTTCCTTGCCTCTCTCGCCGCCCCCGCTTTCCCCTTCTTCTTACTTCGCCTTCCCGCCTGGTCTAACCGCATCGGACCTCCTCGACTCCCCTGTTCTCTTCTCTTCCGCCGCTAATGTAAGTTTTCTTCTTCCTTCTTCCGGATTCAACAAACCAACCCACACCCAGTGTCTCAATCGACTCACGGAATTCTGGGTCTTGTTTGTTTTTGTCTTCTCATGTTGTCTGTGTTTCTTTCCGAAAGCAGCTTCTTCCATCTCCGACCACCGGAGCTTTCGCCGGCCAGAATACATTCAACTGGAGGAACGACTATTCCGGCAACGCGAACAATCAGCAGCAGCTGCAGCAGAAGGGGAAAGAGGAAACCCATTCCGATTTCTCCTTCCAGCCCCAAACCAGGCCCAATTCTTCCTCTTCATCGTCATCCATCTTCCAGTCTTCCTCCGAAGTCGTCTCCGCGGTGCGTGTTTTGACTTTTCACCCTTTTTCCCCCCCAATTCCTTGTACTGGGCCTGTTGCTGATTTAGGTTTCTGAATTCTGATTACAGGATTCAATCAAGAGGCAACAACAACAACAACAACAACAGGACGCCTGGAGCTTTAACAAGCCGAGTTCACTGCTGAAGGAGAAAAGATCACGCCCGGGAAGTTAGGGCGCGAAGTAGAGCATGAACGTTGCGGCCTTCACACCAAAGATTGAGGCCACGAATTATGGAGCTTTGGGCGCGAACTTGAAGATGACACCGTCAAGGGAGGACCAGAGAGTCCTGACACCCCAGCCCACAAGAAAGATCACAGTCGTGACTCATAGATCACGATCGTGAATTCAAGCAGCAATCTCGAAAACCAGACAAGAGCAAATTTGCTAAAGCCAAGATTGTGGCCTCTCTCCCTCAGATCAAGGCTGTGATCTAATGCCTCGTGCCCGTGAACTTGCACGTGTCCTCATAATTCTACAAATAGGGGACTCTTACCCTTGAGTAGAGGGCTTTTTGGCAGATTTCTTATTCTAGAGTGAGGTTGGAGAGAGAAGTAGAAGATTGGAAAGAATAGAAGAAGAAGAAAAGGAGGAGAGCTTTGGAGGAGTATTTCCTGCACTTGAAGAGCCTTCTTCATGTTTTCTTCCCATCTTTGCATGTCTCTTCTCCCCCCTCTTTATAAGGTAATCCCTTAAGGTACTTTAGGGTCTACTCCCCCAAACTCTAGATTTCGATTTTGAATGTAAATGTAACTGTGTTAGGATTTGTGTACGAATATGTTTGTTGTAGTGATTATATCCTTCATTTCTGTTTAATTATGTTGGAGCTTGTCTCTCCAACTCTTTTTTATTACCCTATAACTTAGTCTAGAACTACGTGGGAACTTTAGATTATACTGGATTTGAGCACCTCATAGCTAATTAAGGATAGATGAATGATCTTAGGGTTCCTTAGTGGGCAAGGCGACCAAACCCCTACTATAGGAATGCCCTCCTAAAGCAATGCTAGAGAGGTCGTATGCTTTCTGATCGAAACACCGATCTAGTGTACATGATAGGTTGAACCTATTAAGAGTAACTAAGTGGGCATCCTTAGTACATGAACTTTGACTAAGGTGACATTGGGTCTCTAGAATCGTGCTAGGAGGAGGGAAGTAATCATTGAAACCCTCAGTTGAGCGAGTTTCACACTTTATCCTACAAACCCAACATAGTTAACCATTTTCATGATGAACCTAATTTAAGGCAAGGGGGCACCCTAAGTACCTCTTCTCCTTTATCGACCTCTAGGTCAGTAATCGCCAAATGCCCACCTGCTAAGTAACAAGTTGGCTAGATAACAACCAAGCGTAAGTAGTCTAGGATACCGTGACCCTTGGAATACGACCTACTCACCACTATACTACTTCGCCGATTTAGGGTGCATTTATCCTGGGGTTGGGGTAGCTAGTATTGTCAACAATTCAGTTTATAAATGTAAAACTCGATGTACAACACATCACAACCCAAGATTGGGAGAGGAAGAGAACATTGAAGAAGACTAGAATTTCGATTTGAAAGAAGAAGGAGCCTTTTCAACATTTTCAACACTATCAGTGGTTGAAGAAGAAGTACAAAGACAAGTGGCCATCCCACCTACCCTTTATGAGTACTCAAGTCCAAGAGCATCAAACATCACTTAAAGCATTATTGTGCCACTAACAAACATAGAGATTCGAACTCAACTCATCCAAATGGTGCAACAAAATGGGAGATTTGGAGTAAGGAATGATGATGATTATGTCATAACGGGGGCCTGCTCAATTAGTACGATATTGTCCGCTTTGGGCCAAGCCCGTACGGTTTTACTCTTGGGTGTCCTCCCCAAAAGGCCTCGTACTAATGAGCTTGGTGGACACTAATATACAAGGGTTCCTTCCCTTGTATTACCGATGTGGTACTTGGATTGTCCCATAACAATCCTCCCCTCAAGCCAAGGACCACGAACTTCGTGTCCTCTCCTCAACGATTATCTTGATCCGCCAGACGCCTTGTATCGATGGGCTTCTCGGTACAAGGACTTTACCAGACGCAGAACTCTCTTTGATCTGCTTCCCAAATGCGGAACTCTCTTTGATCCGCCAAAGCCCAAACGTGGATCTCTCGTGGATCCACCAAACAGACGCGAATCGCAAATCCCGAGGCCACCGAATGAGGGTCCACCAAACTGACATCCACCGCCCTGGATCCGCCGAACCAGGCTCTGATACCACTTGTCATAACGGGGCCTGCTCAATTAGTACGATATTGTCCGCTTTGGGCTAAGCCCGCACGGTTTTACTCTTGGGTGTCCTCCCCAAAAGGCCTCGTACTAATTGGGCTAGGTGGACTCTAATATACAAGGGTTCCTTTCCTTGTATTTTCGATGTGGTACTTGGATTGTCCCATAACAATCCTCCCCTCAAGCCAAGGACCACGAACTTCGTGTCCTCACCTCAGCGATTATCTTGATCTGCCAGACACCTTGTATCGATGGGCTTCTCGGTACAAGGATTTTTCCAGACGCGGAACTCTCCACCAGACAAATGCGGACCTCCCTCGATCCGCCAGATGAGCCCAAACATGGATCTCTCTTGGATCCACCAAACCAGACGCAAATCGCAAATCCTGAGGTCACAGAATGAGGATCCACCAAACTGACGTCCACCGCCCCGCACCAAACCAGGCTCTGATACCACTTGTCATAACGGGGGCCTGCTCAATTAGTACGATATTGTCCGCTTTGGGCCAAGCCCGCACGGTTTTACTCTTGGGTGTCCTCCCCAAAAGGCCTCGTACTAATTGGGCTAGGTGGACTCTAATATACAAGGGTTCCTTTCCTTGTATTTTCGATGTGGTACTTGGATTGTCCCATAACAATCCTCCCCTCAAGACAAGGACCACGAACTTCGTGTCCTCACCTCAGCGATTATCTTGATCCGCCAGACACCTTGTATCGATGGGCTTCTCGGTACAAGGATTTTCCCAGACGCGGAACTCTCTTTGATCCGCCAAACAGACGTGGATCTCTCCACCAGTCAAATGCGGACCTCCCTCGATCCGCCAGATGAGCCCAAACGTGGATCTCTCATGGATCCACCAAATCAGACGAAGATCGCAAATCCCGAGGCCACCGAATGAGGGTCCACCAAACTGACGTCCACCGCCCCGGAACGAACCAGGCTCTGATACCACTTGTCGAAACCGGGCCGCTCAATTAGTACGATATTGTCCGCTTTGGGCCAAGCCCGCACGGTTTTACTCTTGGGTGTCCTCCCCAAAAGGCCTCGTACTAATTGGGCTAGGTGGACTCTAATATACAAGGGTTCCTTCCCTTGTATTTCCGATGTGGTACTTGCATTGTACCTTAACAGATTATGTGCAACACTTGAAGAAAGTATTGGAGATTGTCAATTCCATTCAAGGAAATGATGCTACCAAAGATGGGATTTGACTAAGAACTTTCTCAATATCTCTTGGAGTAGGAGCGAAGCAGTGGCTAGATTACCATCCACTAGGCACCTTCACCACATGGGAGACCCTTGCTCAAGCATTCATTGAGGAGTACTTCCCACCATGGAAGACGGAGGAGCTTAAAGATGAGATTACGCAATTTCAACAGAAGGAATGAGATACTTTCTATGATGCTTGGAGGAGATTCCAGGAATACATCAAGGCATGCCCCCATCATGGATTCACTCTGAAGCAAATTGCAAAGTACCTCGCCAAAGGTCTGGATCAAGACACAAAATGATGGTAAACTAGTTGGCCGATGGAGATTTCACAACAATGACGGGAGTGCAATGCCAAGAACATTTCGACACACTAGCAAGGAAGTCAAAGAACTGGTCCAAGCTTTCATTAGTGATCAAGCCATTGAAAGTTATCCAACGGAGACAGGATAAAGTCTCCACTCCTTGTGACATGAAGGAGCTGACCCAACAACTCATGAAAGCTTCAATGGAGCCAAAGGATGGAATGATGGCATCCTTGTTTATTTGTGAAACATGTGGAGAAGAAGGTCATGAAGGTTTTGGATGCTATAGCCAAGGAGGGCAAGAACATATGGATGTTAACTATATAAACCAAGGCTATCAATCAAGACCTCAACAAAGGAGCTATCCTCCTTATAAGAGATTCAACCAACCTCGCATACCATATGGTCAATGGCCTGCTCCAAGAGGAAAGCAGTCGAAGACTACCCCTACATCACCTCTACCGATGTACCTTACGAAGCACAATGCCAGAAGAAACAAAGTCCACATGGATTTGACAATCAACCTCAATGCAAGACGTAAGGAGAAGGAGTCTCCAATCAACAACACACTAGATTCGAGAAGCTAGAGGTAACAGTGATAGGACTGCAAATGAGCCACTAGAACATAGAAAGACCACTTGCACTCCTCATCGATGCTCGAACTCAAAATCCTCAAGAAAACCTCCCATACATTTGCTATTGGGTACTCACCACCAACCCACATTCGTTTTCCATTCCAAATGTTTGGGCACTACTTTGGTTGAGCCAGTTTTCACATGAGACAGAGAGGAGATGTTGGAAAGGTGACCACTAGTTACATGATCTTGTATCATGCTTTGATAAACAGCATGAGGCTTCACCCAGCATGATTGGTGATTGACAACCTGTTGAGGTACATTTTTGTCACTTTTCCACGAGGACTTCTGGAGGGGGATATTGATAACACCCTAACTGCACATGTTTATTCCCTCATTTCTTGGTCGTTTGAGCTTTACGACTTCTATATTGGAGCCTATTTTATGCTAGGTTGTGCTCTTTTGTCATATTTCAGTACCTATCGAGTAAAGGGAAGCTCAAATGCAATTATTGGGTCTTGGAAATCGTTAGGAAACTAGAGGCAAAAACAAGGGCAGGCCTCTCAAAACGCAACCGTGTTTCTCTAGCAGTTGTCAGTGTTTCTTCAATCAACGTCTATGTTTCATGTGCCAAGAGTAATCGCTGAGAAATGGGAAAACACGAGCAGGAGCAAAACACGGGCACCGACCATGTTTCTATCTAAAGTGATCGTGCTTCTCCCCGTCAGGGACTTAAGTGAAACACGGGGAAGGATGAAAATACGGGCATGACCAAAACAAGGA